GAGGTGTGTTTGTGAATTTGTGCGCTGAAAGAGACCTTTCTCAATGGACCCCCAGTTTTCAGCTCTGTCAACAGCACCCCGATCGCCTTTCTCATGTGCAGTTCCAGAATCTGTTAGTGGCTCTGAGCGTCACGTGGTTTTCTTCCTAGTTGCTGTGCCTCCACTCCTTGTCCACTCCATCACAGGCACTGGACTGCCAACTTTCTCCACATTAACTCAGTTACCACTCCCCCGTCTGTTTCCCAGTTTCTAATGTTTATTGGCAGCTACCTCCACTTCCTAGTGCTGCCGTAACAAAACACCACACAACGTGTGGCTCTGAAGAACTGAAATCGAATTTCTCACAAGTTTGTAAGCTGAAGTCCAAGTGGTGTCAGCTGGTCTGATTGCTCCTGACGGCTTCGAAAGCAGTCAGGGGATCAGAAACACCTCTAAGGGACAACAGAGGCCGTGAGACGATGGAGGCAGTGAACGGATAGCGGCAGAGCAGCAACAACTGTCCACGGCCATCGGAAACTAAGAGAAAGAGGCAAGGGTCAGTTTCTCTCTCAAAGCCCTCTGCAAGTCTTAGGTATACAGCATCTTGCCCACAAACAAGCTCACATATACTACCGCTTTAGCTACAAAATAACATAAGGTCACAGAAAGCAACTGAGGGTAAAAAAGTTAGTTAAAAATCGACCAGAATTTGGACTCAACAGCTAATACTGCAAGGCCCACCCCACCCCCCAAAATGGAGAAGAAATGCTTCCAAGACAAGATGTATATGCACACGTGGGCAGTGGGGAAGGTGTCTCCTGGAAGGAAACTGGGGTCTCCAGCTCGTGTGAGGGAAGAGGAATGGTCAGATGTGGGGAGGCTCCTCGAAATGAGAAAGGTCAGGGCCGTCAAGGTGGGCTTTTCCTGGTAGTCAGAGAGCCACCGCTGCTTTGGCTCCCCGCTGCTGGGGTGCTGAGGCAGTGCCTGCACCATATGGTCCTTTGAAGAGAACCGAGGACTCATGGTCTGGATGTGGTGTGCAGTAGGTTCAACAAAAGACCAGCCATGCACGGGCACAGACATGACCAAAGCTTGGGGAGGGATGGACTTGCAAATATTCCAGATAAAAGAGAGTAATGGAGAACCTGAGGGGTAACACAATGGGAGGCACCGCTCCTCATAGGCTTGGGCTTGTGGGTAAATGGTGTGTCAGGTTTCAAAGGTTTCAGACAGAGTTCTAACTGCACACTAGCAGATATGACCGTATGTCCATAATTCATCAATATGCAATCAGCATAGGGGTTGTTGTTCTTTCTTCCTTCCTTTAAAGCACAAGCATTATGCAGGACTAACAATACCACAGCAGCTGTGTTGTCCTGGTATGAACAAAGGCCCCTGGAATCTAAAAGGAAGGGAATGGTGCCATGCTGGAGTACATGCAAGAGTCGATGTGTGCTGGGCTGCACGGTGGCACACTGCACAGCCCAGCAGCCTTTCTGTGAAGGGCATGCGGATTCTTCGTCATATAAGCCAGCTTCTCTGATGATCTGCTCCACAAATTCATACAGATTCACTAAGTATAGAGAGAGGATACAACTCTGATGCACACCTTCTCTGATTTTAAACTACACAGTGTTCCCTTGTTCTCTGCCCACAATTGCCCCTTTAAAAAAAATCATTTTATTGGGGGCTCATACAACTCTTATCACAATCCATACATCCATGCATTGTATGTCAAGCACATTTGTACATTTGTTGCACAATTGCCTCTTGATCCATGCACCAGTTCTGCATGAGCACAATGAAGTGTTCTGGAATTCCTATTCTTCTCAAGGCTGTCCATAGTTTGTTATGATCCACACAGTCAAATGCCTTTACATAGTCAATAAAACACAAGCAAGCGTCTTTCTGGTATTCTCTGTTTTCAGTGGAGATTTATCTGCCATCTTTAATGATATCCCTGGGCTGCTAACTTCACTGTCAGCTATTCAAAACTACCAGCCCTTTTGGGGAGAGAAAGATGAGGCTTTCCAATTTCTAGATGCAGAGTCTAGGAGGCCCAAAGGACCAGTTATAATCTGTCCTATGGGTTGCTCTGAGTCAGAATAAACTCGATGACAAGGAGTGAGTTAACCCTCACAGCAACAAGGACATGCCTTTGTACACTCATGTGGTGCTTACGGAAGGAAAGGCAAGCTGGTGGCGAGGGCACAGTAAAGGGACAAGGTCGAAGTTGCACAGCCAGAAGGCAGAACTGGGATTGAAACCAAGCACTGTGACTCCAACATCTGTTTTTGACCTGAAATGTGTAACTACGTCATAAACTGGCTTTTCATCTTACTCTAAATTTGGAACAGACACAAACCTCACTAGGAACGAATAGTTACACATCTTACTCCCTTTAACCTGTGGCCATTTCTACTCAATCTGTCACACCTCCAGCATTCTTAAGGAAGCACGTGATCCATTGCTCTGTCCGTTCACCCATCGCTATGTTCTGCTTGTCTCCTCTCAGCTCTGCTTCCAAAGTCACATGGAATTGCCCTCTTTATTTCCAAAGTACCCCCACCCGGCCCCCGCCCCCTCCAGCTGCCATAGTCCTGGTCTAGATGACCGCAACACCCCAACCCCTTGGTACAGCTTTCTCACTTGTGCCCATCCTTCACCCAGCAGCCAGGAAAGTCATTTTTTCAAAATGTTCCAAGTATTTGCTATTTTACAACAGAATGCTGCTCAACGTAAGGCACTCACTCGTGCTAAATACTCAGCTGTAGCAAATAGTTCATGGTTCTTAACTACAAAAGGAAAGCGTAGTTTTTGTGAAATAGCCATTTAAACACAATGTCTGGGATTACACAAAAGGCATTTAGCCAAGGGTTTTCTAATTACCTTTGGGTGATCTTTCTCCTTCACGGGTGTTATGAAATCACAGAAACCTTGATTAAACGAAAACACCAACACGTGAAACTATTATTTGTAAACATAGCCTCAATCTAGGGCAGGGTTTCTCTGGATGGGGCTGGAATGATCCAGGGGCTGTAAAAGTAGATACATATACTTTCTTCTATATTATGGGCTGTAGTATAAAAGTTTTGAGTAATTTTTTTTTCTGAGGAAGGTAAGAGCTGTGAGGTCTCGATACTTCGGAAAGTGGTCTTCTCATCTCTTTCGAGCCCTTCTTTGGGGCCTCTGAGCTCTTCCATTGGCACCGCCTCCAAACGGCAGTGCGGCATCCTGTAGGGACTCAAATCACGTTTCTTTAAAAATTTTCTTTGAGTAAAAATTGGTCAAAATGGGGCAAGATCAGGGTGGATGATGAAGGTAAAGTTTCCCAATGAAATTTTCATAGGATGACTCTCGGTACCCTTGCAGGTTGAGCAGATGCATTGTTGTGATGGAAACAAATTCCTCAAGTAACTTTTCTGGCCTTATGCTTGCCAAAGAAGTGTTGTTGTTTTAAAATCTTCTTCGTAATAATCCCCTGTAATGTTCCTTTGTCTTTTTAGAAAATCTGTCAAGACTACCCCCTTTGGAGTCCCAGAAAACATTCTCCATACTCTTCTGAGCTCCCTGCTTCCTGGAATTAAACTGGCCCAGATAATTCTCTTGGAAGTCACTGTTATGACTGGAGTTTTTTGTCCCCCACTCCCTTGAAGGCACCCTAATGAGACAAAACAAGTATACGACTGAGCAGCCTTGTCTGCAGCTATCCACTGATACAGACATAGGTTTAACATGTTTTACGTGGACTAAAGCTGGGCATGAAGGGACTCAGATATGTCCAAGGGGGTTGTTGGAGAACAGCAGGCTCCCACTTGAAAGCCACTGTTTGGATTTTTACTTTTTTTGAAGGCACCCTCAGAAGGCTAAGTCAAGTATGTTACCGAGAGAGCTCGTCTGAAACCATCCACTGATTGCAGAGGCGTGTTTAACTATATTTTGTTCGAATAAACCCAGGCATGTCTGACCTGGAATGCTCACTGCACTATTTTCTGCTTACCCTCACCCCAGGTCCCCAAAGGATTGAGTTGATTTTCCAGAACCACTCCTCACAACATACAAACTGAAATACAGCACAGGGACTGATGAGTCCCCTTGTGTCTACGGTGGATCACAGTAAGCCTCGTTTCCAGAGCTTCCTCTCGCAGAGAAGGAGGAGGTGAGCACACACTCAGCGTCTGAACTTATTTGATCTGTCTTACTACAGTGTCCTCTCTAAGTTCTAGCACGGGAGTGATCTGGAGTAAATGCTCAATAAATGTCTGTTAAACATTATTGGAGGAGCACAACATTAATATTTTCCTGGAATAATCTAAAATTTTCTAAGCAATAAAGTAGATGCTTTAAGAGTCTTTCCATATTTTAGGTAATCGTGTGGTTTTCTCAAAATGTGAATTTGAGTTTACTGAAAGTACTGATTTTCTTTTTCGCTCTCGACAGCTGAGTTAGTTAATTGTGCCAGCCTGGCCGATAATCACATGTGGTGCTGGTTGAAAGGCGGAGGGATAAATGGGTGGTGAAGCCTCGCCTTTCGAGTTCTCGGGTCTCTTGTTTTGTGATGGTTGCATCGGGTGCAGCTGCCTTAGCAGTTCCCTGCTTCAGCTTGCAAGATTGACTTCCTACAAGACATCCCCAAGGAGAAGCCGCATGGATCTATCCCGATGCAGCCCTGGGTGCTGGAGCAGCTGTGTGGAGACTCCTGCCAGTGCTGAGATGCTTACACGTTCACTGACTCAGCTTTCCTCCTGCAGTCGGCATCATTGCCTCTGTTTTGTGAGGTGAAGGACTTTGTGGACTGGTGTTGGGTATGGGTTAATGTTGGACTTGTGGGCTTGGGCAGCATTGGGTTGGGATGTTTTCATGATGCACCTTTTCTTTACATAAAACTCTCTCTTATACATGAGTCGCTGTGGATTTGTTTCTCCAAAGTACCTAGACTAATCCAACAGCTGATTTGAAACACTTTCCACTCACCACAGATCTCCCCTTCCAGCAAACATGGAAAGATTCCCCAGGCTCACCTTGAAGCATAACCAGAGACTGTCGAAGGCGGCTGTTTTCCTTCCGGGTGCTTGTTAGTTTTTGGTTTAGGCTTTTTATTTTGGCGCACAGTTCCTCCTTCGACAGTTCTGCTAGCGGGGCCTCGTCTTCACTGGAACTCTCACCTGGCAGAAAGGCATTTCCTGAAAACGGAGTTCTCTGAAAAACAAGGAGGGACAACACAGGAAGCTTCAGCGTACTATCCGGGGGTGTGATTCCATGTTCTGCACGCTGTATGGACTTAATCAGATCGACAAAGGCCTGTCCTCTCAGGCACTTCCTGCGCCAGGAGAAGAACCCCAGACCCTAACTGACAATGTAAACCAGCTTTCCCACCTTTCAGATGCCCTTGGCATCAGGCAGTGATGTGGCAGGGCAGCGGTGACTTGTAGGAGGAATGTGGGAGTGCAGTCTGGGTGTGGAATGATGGGAGCCTCTGGGGTGATGTTGTATTTTCTTATCTGTGTTTGTATCCTATTTTATTTTTAAAAGTTACTTATTTTATTATTTAAAAATAATTTTATTGGGGGCTCTTTCAGATACATCAATCCATAAATCAATTATATCAAGCAAACATGTACATATGTTGCCATCATCATTTTCAAAACATGGTCTTTCTACTTGAGCTCCTCTCTTTTCGCTCCCCCACCCTCCTACCTTCGTGAACCCCCTTCACCAACATAGCTGTTATTTGTTACTTCTCTAGGGGGAGGGGAGTTATACATTCATCATTGCTATTGGTTCCCCCTTTCTCCTCCTTCCCCCACGCCCAGCCTCTCCATGCCCTCATGGTGTCGCTACCCCCATTACTGTTTCGGAGCGTTCACCTGTCCTGCCTTCCATGGGGCTGTCACAGGCTCTATATCACATTTTAATAGATATTAATAAAAATATCTTCAGAAGTGAATTGCTATCATTTCCTTCAAAATTTCCAGTGCTTAGACCCTAATCATTTTGTACTTAAGTTTAATCTCTATAGTGAGAATAGTTATATTTACTGCAACAAAAGAGAATGCAGAATCTTTATGGTACCAAGTCATAAAATGTTATTGAATGGCATCAGAGGAAATCTGAATCTATCGAGAAAGAGCCTATGTTTAGTTTAAGACAAGAAGTCTTAAACTAAAAAATATTAACTACCATATTACCCAGCAATCCTACTCCTAGCTACACACCCTAGGGATATAGCAAGTGACATATCAGACACGCACATCAAAGCTCATCACAGCACTATGTGCAACAGCAAAATGATGGAAACAATCTACGTTTCCATCAATGGATGAATGAATCAGCAAAATACACTAAATGCAACGGCACTCCGCTGTAAAAGAAAATGAATCCCTGAGACATTTTACAGCCTGGATGACCCTGGAGGATATATGTTGAGAGAGGTCAATCACAAAATGACATATATTGAGAAGAATAGGTCAATATACAGTACAGAGACCAATGTTCATCGGTGGTTACCAAGGATGGGACCAGGGGGAATATTCATTCACTGCCATTGAGTCAATTCCAACTCGCAGTGACCTGCGAGGACAGGGTAGGACCAGCCCAGTGGGATTCTGAGACTGTCCATCGTTACAGGAGGAGAAAGCCTCATCTCGCTCCTGAAGAACAGCTGGTGGGTGTGCACGACTGACCTTGCTGTTTGCAGCCCAACTCAACTCTCACGATGTCACCAGGGCTCGACGTACAGGGAAGAGAGGGGAGCCATCCTTAGTCACTTTGCATTTATGGTGATGAGAAAAGTGGCACCGCATGGGGGTGGCGTTTGCACAAATTGACTAATATAATCGGTATCAATGAGTTGTACATAAAAAAATGGATAAACCCGCAAGTGCTGTGTTAGATGTAATTTTTCAACAATAACCACAATCAAGAAAAGGTGAGGGTTTGGCCCCTCAGTCATAACATAAAGCTTCAGGCCACAGTCTGGGGAGACAATCCACTCAATTGGCATAACACAGTTCTTAAAATGTATGTTCTTCTTGCCAGTATGGTGAGTAGCATCTGTGGTCTTAAAAGTATGAGCAGCCAAGTAAGACAGAACTATTAGCTTTATTAGTCTGGAACAAAATTGAAAGACCCGAGGCAGAGAAGTAGCCAGACCCTAGGACCAACTGTCTCCATGAATTACGGTCTCCTTGACCTTGATACCAGAAGAACTAGCCAAAGACACAACAGACAAATCCTGACAGAAAGAGAACAAAATGTTCAACAGAACTTCACATTCTCACAGCACGTACTGGACCAGCAGAGGTTGAGGAGTCAAAACTACTGTCCTGACTACTTTACAAACTGTAACTCACAATTATCCCTTGTTTATCCTGCTAAAACAAGTAACAGTGCACTTCAGAACATAAAAATGTTGTGCTCTTTTATAAAAATTATGTAGTATAGACAATAGCTATTCTAATGAATACAGGAGAAGGCTGGGAAACAGGGAATTTCAATAGGAAAAAAAACACCCAGCTAGCACAGAAATAAAAAGAAGATTGACACAACGTGATGTTTTTGTCCAGGAACTATTGAATAGGAATGGGTTTTATTGTGCATATTTTCAACCAAAATGAAACAAAATACCAATAAAATTGAGGAAACAGCTCAAATTAAAAACAGGCAAAGGACTTGAAAAGATCGTTAATGAAAGACACGTAGCTGATTAGTAGCATGGGAAGATGCTCAGTGTCATTCTCTCCTCGCCTCTGTAGATGTAACCGCAGAAAGGACAAATGCTCGTCATCACACACATGTGCAGATACACATCAGTTGCCTTTCAGTTCATCGTGACTGGTGCACACCCACAACTGTCATCACAGAAAAGTGTTCTGCAGGGTGTTCACTGGGTGATTTTCCCAGGTCGCTACATCTTTTGTTTCTGAGGTGTTTCAGCCAAGTGCTTAACTGTTTGTGTCCCCTAGGGACTCCGATATCGAACTACACCAAACGCACTGCCTTTGAGTTGATGCTGATTCACAGTGAGCCAGTGTAGAGTAGAATTGTGCCTGTGCGAATAGAAAGTTTCATCCTTCTCTAGCGGAGCAGCCAGCAGTTTCAAACTCCTGACCTTGTGGTTAGCAGTTAGTAACCAACTAGTAACTCATTACACTACAAAGGCTCCCTCATACCCATATACAACAAAAGATTCCAGACTCACTGCTACCGAACAGGAGTTGAATGTTTTTAACTCAACTTATTGAGTATTCAAGAGAGAACAAGTCCTTTGGAAAAAAATTAGAGAAAATAATAACCAGAGGAAGAGCAAGAACTGATCAATTATTAAAGACATTATGGGATTATGGTAGTACTAGATAAAGACATTATATTATTAAGGTAACAGAATACCAACCTGTCCTTTACCCAAGTCACTGTTTGCATTCTCTGAGTCCATGGTCTCTGTTCTTTTCCTCTTTCCTCTTTGAAAAACTTCTGTATTGGTAATTTCATCTGTTTGAAAGATCTTCTGCATTTTCTCAAATAATTATCAAGGGCCTTTTGAAATGTCCATGCAGGCGATGCTATTCTGGAAGTAATGCAAAGGTTAATATTTTGTTCTCTTTTTAAAAAAGTATACTCGTTAAAAATTACACATAATAAGATATTTAAGACTATATTTGACAGTAGTACTAACCAGTCATACAAACTACTTTCATCAAATGCTTCTTTATCTTTATTTCCCCCACTTAGCAATTTACTGCCCATTTTTATTTGTTTCTAAAGTCTTTCAACTTCCTACTCATGGTGAGGACATTCGTGTATCCATAAAGGGATTTACAGGGAGTTGCTACTTACAAAATCAAATAGTGTGAACATTTTCCATCTTTACAATTTTTTTCTTTTCAACCAGTTGTGAGGAATCTGGAAAAGAAAACAGAAACATAAGATGGATACAATTATCCATCTAGGAAAAGACAACAATAATGACAGACTTCCCCAGAACAAGAATATTCCAGGGAGAGAAATAAGAATGGCTTAGGAATATTGTTTGCTTGCTTTTGTTACTGGAAAGCCTGAAGCACTGAAATGGAAAATTTGTCCACGATGTAAGATGAAGGACTATTATATATATATATAATTATATTATATATAATATAAGCTGAAGGATTATAATATAGAATGGCTGGGGGGTGAGGGAGAGGATCTCACAGATAATACATCTCATAAACACTATAAGCGATAAACACTTTTTTAAATCTAAGAAAGTAGATGGTAGTTCTTAAGTAGAGTAGAATTGAAATGCCCAATGGTAACTTTGCCACACACAGATGCTGCAGCACATTAGGGCTTAGCATCCTTATTGTAACAGATCATGGGAGCAATGCTCACTGTAAAATAGAAAATTATATATATACAGAGAGAGTAAAAGCCTTCCACTCCATCTTCTCCCATTTAAGGTGCATAAAAACCAGGTTTTAATGGTTATAATTTGTTACTTGAACCTGTCTTATTTGTGCTAAACTTTATTTCAGGCTTGGAAATTACAAAAACATGGACCCTGTGTTATACCTAATTGCACTAGACTCTTCTCTTGTGGACAGAATTTGTTTAAAGAACAAGTCCTCTTGTTTCTTCACAAACATGAAATTTGCTCAAGACCAACCAGAATGACTGTCGGTCAGTGTTATTTCAAGATCATTTGCTGTTTTAACATGCACAAGCAGGGGATTCCATGCTTATATGCAAGTTAGCACATTTAGGTGGAATATTACAACGACTGTATATGGAATATTACTAGTTCCTGATCACTAGTGAAAAGCTCACCACATAGCTATCTCTCTCCTGTTCTCCCTTCTCTTAAAACAGTGGTTCTCAACCTGTGGGTTGCCACCCCTTTGAGGCTTGAATGACCCTTTCACAGGGGTCGCCCGATTCATAACAGTAGCAAAATTACAGTTATGAAGTAGCAACAAAAATAATTTTATGGATGGAGGTCACCACAACACGAGGAACTGTATTAAAAGGTCACTGCATTAGCAAGGTTGAGAACCACTGTCTTAAAAGAAAGTATTTCATTAATCCTGTACTTAAGTACAGGGGGCAAGATTAAACATAATCAATGCCCTGAGAAACATATATTTCTAGAGGAATAATACAAACCAATGGATTTCAAACATTTTTTATTGCAATTCACATTAAATAAATAGAATGTGCATTTTGATCCAGGAAGCACACACTCAGACACACATTTTAGGAAACCAGACTTAACCTGTAATACATGTCATATATTCTCTTAGTTTCTACTCCACCTACTCTTTCTAATTCGTTTAAAAACATGTTGAACTGATTTCACAGCCCACGGATATGTAGCAATCCAATCCATAGTTTTAAAAATAATGATTTAAGTAACAAGCAACTTATGAAAATAATAATATCTAAGAAAGGTGTAGATAAAGGTGAGCTTTGAATTAATTATAGCAGAAATCACACAGCAGAGAGATCAAAATCGGAATGGCCTTAAATATTTTTGTGCCTTTTCATGCAGTACCCACAGCACTGAGCAGCCCTGATTGGCGGAGTGGTTATGGGATGAGCTGCTAAGTGCAAGGTAAACCACCAGCTGCTCCACGGGAGAATGATGAGGCTTTCTACTCTAGTGAAAAGGTACAGACTTGGAAAACCCACACGGGCACTTCTACCCTGCCCTATAAGCTCACTATGAGCTGGAATCGACTCAATGGGAGTGAACTGTTGAGTTGCCCACCAATACTGAGTTCCACTCAGCCTCAGTGTTTGGGTTGCTTTCTCATTAGTCAAGGTGTTCTAAACTTATGGGGGTGGGGGTGGGGATAACTCATTTTTTCACTTGGAACCCGACAACGACCAAATTAGGAGCTCTTAACTTACTCTTTCCCCCCTCCATTTCCAAGTGACATTAAACACATGTTCAATTTCCAAATTATCTAGGAGTAACCTGATTCAAAGGATGCTCAGCATTCTTTTCAAAAAGAAAACTCACTGGCACCAAGCTCATTCTGAATCACAGTGACCCTACGGTTCGGAGCAGAGCTGCCTCTGGACTTGTGAGGCTGTCAATCTTCATAGGAGCTGCAGGTCCTCTCATCTTTCTTCCTTGGAGTAGCTGGAGGATTTGAACTGCTGACCTTGTGGTTAACGGCCCAATGCACAATCCACTATTCCACCAGGGCTCCCAGCATACTTTAGAATGATTCAAAAACATTGATAGCAATATATATGCTAGCTTTGTGACTATACACAAACTTAAAAAAGTGTTAATTATATTAAATCACTTTAGACTTGGCACTTTAGAGCTTCCCTAATGGGAAAGAAAAAAAAATTCAAACTTATTTGGTGGGAATTTGTGAAAGTCTTTTCACTGATGCTCATATATGAATAAGCAGTGAGATGTCGTCATATATGAAACCATTCGTGAGAAAAATGCTTTTATCTCCCTGTATTACCCTATGTGACATCCTCAGTTCTTTCCAACTTTGTCTCCCTCATTTAACAGGAACACACAGAACGGCTCAGCTTTACTGACAGCTGGTGGCTGAGCTGCTAACTGCAAGGTGTGCAGTTCGAAACCTTACTGACAGCCTGCTATTGAGACGGTCCTGTTCGGCACCCCTAACCTGTGCTAACTCACGGAATCCTCACATATCGAACGGAGGGAGAACAGTGACCCTGGAGCATTTCTCCTTCCACCTCTCCTGTGGAGTCACCTCTGGCAGGCTATGAGTCTCAACATGGGGCCACAGTCCCTCTCAGGGCACCCCTTGCTATGTGAACTCCTTTCAGGCTGTAAGAACCACTCCCTTAGCTGATCTCTCTAGGCCCAAGGGCGGTAACACTCCCATTTGCTCACTCCGGGGGCAGCACTATCCCTTATGGCTTCTTTACTTAGCCTAAACCTTTTTCAAATTATCCTCATTTTAAAAGGCCATCTGTTTCCTGTCAGGATGCTGGCTGCTAGGACATAGTGGGGTTCCTCATGCCTCCTGACTGCCAGGGTGTATGCCTGTTGTCAGTCGGCAGATTCCTTCTGCCACCTGCTCTCTCTTGGATATCCGATGTTGACAATTAACTTACTAGTGTATTCCTGTTTTATTGGATAAGGCTGGTATTTCTGATTTTTATGTTCTGACATTATCTACTCTATCACTGATCAGGTTCCATTTCCAGTGATGAAGGAATGATGCAGGGAAAAGGGGAATACAACCTTATTTTTTGTTCTCCTAATGCATAGGCACTAAGACCTTGATAGTTGGTATTTCTACTGTCATGGGCTCCACAGATTTTAGCTTTCTCATCTCTACTAAACTCCCTCTTCAAGCTCCTCATCTTTTGACCTGAAAAGAAAATTGGATGTAATTGTCTTATCTGTAATTAGACAATAGAAGACAATCTTTGCCAGTTTCAGAATGTCACCTTTCCCCCAACACTTGTCAACAAAAAGCCTGCAGCTATGCATGGGGCCACTTGGAAGAGTGCATAAAGAAGGGTGTGCAAAACACAGAAGGACTCTGGACAAGTCTTTCTATAGTTTTGGACCTCCAAAAAGAGTTTCTAAGAAATGTGAGTTTTTACAAGCATTGCCCCCCTTGAGTATTCCGTTACTACCTGACTCTTCCCAATATGTATGTGCCTTCCCCACTCCTGGCCCTTCTATTTGTTGAAAACAGATGCTGAATGTTAGGGATAGAAAGATATGGCCTTGTGAGAAAATAAGAGTCCTTGAAGATGTTAATAGTTGACATGAAGCCATGTTGACGTGGGCTGGGTCCTAACCCACTCACTCTAAGTGGTGTTCTTATAAAAAGAGTGGGAGAGACAGAGCACAGGAAGGGTGATCCCTGGAAGGTGAGTGCAGATGTCGGAGTTATGTTGCCCCAGCCACAGAATGTCTAGGGATAGCAGAAGCTTGGAGAGACAGGCAAGAATCTCCCTCTTGAGTCTGCCAACACTCTGTCCTCAGACATCAGGCATTCTGAACTGTGAGACAATAAACATCTGTTGTTTTAAGCACCACATTGGTGGTGCTTATTTGTGGCAGCCCTAAGACATGGAAATGGAGTGAAGCCCAAAGGATACCCTGCTGCCATCAATTTGATTCTGACTCATAGCTACTCAACGGCATGGAGTAGAAGTGCTCCTTGGGGTTATGGAGACTTCAGTCTTTAGGGGAGCAGAGGGTCGCACCTTCCTCTCGAGGAACAGCTACTAGGTTTGAACTACTAACTTGTGGTTTATGGCCCAACTGCACCACCAGGGCTCCCAGTCTAAAGAAAACTCAAACCAAGCCCACTGCACAGAGTCAATTCTGACTCATGTCCACCCTGAAGGTAAGAGTAGAACCGCTTCCTAGCATTTCTGAGACTGTTAAATCTTTTAAAAAAATGGTCTCACTATTCTAGAATTGTTGTTCTATTTAGTTCTTTTTATTCTAAAATGGTCTTTTTCAGAGATAGTGACCTCATCAAATTTATACTTGGAGACATTTATCTATACCCACCCAGAAGTTTCAGAGGCTACCATACCAGTCAGTAAGTCTAAACTTTTTAAAAACATGAGCAGTCTCCTAATACTCTGAAGGCACACCTCATTGATGTTCCTTCTTAAGAAATGCACAGTCTTATTTCAAATTGTTAAAAGACAGCCATAAACTACAGTTTGCTAGGAGTAGAGGTCCTCTAGTTCACGTACACCCAAATGGTGTTGTCAGCAGAAAAGCAAGCAAGCCACTATCAGTCAATATCAATGCATCCTGACAAACATGCTGAGCTTTTACTTCTTCCCAATAAAAAAGTGAGTCCAAAAAAGGTCTCAGGAGCCTATAAAGATGTATCATTTCTAAATCGCAGTGGAAGGAATTTAGTACAACTGACCAATCTAGGTTTTTA